ACCGGATGTCGTTTGGACATCACACAAGGCGACGGGGAGTCGGGGGCATAGATGGCCTCCGGAAGCACAGTCCAGCACAGAACAGGTGGAGCTGGAGAACAGGGAACTTCCAGCTCTTCCACCGAGGAGAGGAGGGAAGGCTGTCAGGCCGCTTTCCTCTTCTTCCTTGCTTGATGACCGAAAGTCTGGGCCGGCTGTGCCGGTGCACCTGCTGTCGGGGCTGGGGACTTCCTTTGGCCAGTTCGTCCTCGCCTCGTGCCTGGGCGGGGTTTTGAACCAGGGCGGGATGTGGCTTTTGGCCGTTTCGGGATCTTAAATTGGGTAGGGTCACGAGGCAGCCTGAGCAAGGGTCTGTCGCGGGGCCGTCGGAGGCGCGGCGGCTGGACTTCCGGGGAAGACAGAGCTGGAGAGCCTCGTCTTCTCTCTTTTTGGCCTCACACCGCTGCTGCATTGAAGCCAGAGCAGTGCCGAATATGCCTTCGGGGACAATTGGCATGTCCAAAACGTCCTCTTTCTCCCGGTCTGGTAGGTTCGTCAGGTTAAGCCACCTGGCTCTCTCCTGCACCACCATCATCCCAAGCGACTTACCCGTGGCTTGGACCGCACAGCGCTGCACGCGGAGGCAAATGTCCGTGATGGCGGTAATTTCATCCCACACAGCAGGCTCAGGTTTATTTGTCATGTCTTCGCGCAGCTCTGCTTGGTAAGCAGTCAGCATCGATGAGACATTGAGCGCCCTGACAGATAAAGCTGCTGCTTTGTAAGCCCGTTCGGTCATTGCTGACTGAAAACGATCTGCTTTTGTCGGCAGTGTGGGGTTCCTGTTAGACTCCGAAGACAGCCGCGGTTGGAGGTGGGCTGCAACAAGCGGCTCCATAGGAGGCATGCGAAGCAAGCCGAGTTTCTCCATGCCCTCGAAATCCAAAGAGGAAGCTCCCTGGATCAGGGACTTACTGCTGAACGGGTGGTCTCTCCACGAGACAGACACCTCGTCCAGCAGCTCCGGAAAAACTGGGAGAAGCTGTCTTGCCATCCTCGCAGCCTGGGGCAAATTCTTCCCCTCGTAGCGAGACCTGGTGGTCTCCTTTGCTACTTCAGGCCAGGGGATGTCCAGCCTGGACGCAGCGCGTTGACACACGGCTTTCAAGTCCATGCTGAGACGGGGCGAAGCTGGCATGCTTTCGCCCGGAGGAGCAGACACAGCATCAGGCTTGGCAGCCTGAGCGGATGAGACAAAAATATCATCCTAGTCTGAGTCTGAGTCGGATAAGAGAAACTCGTCTTACTCTATATAATCCAACTCCAGGACATCCTCCGCGAGCGGAACCAGGGTGAGGTCCAGCTGGGAGCCCCAGCTAGCCTCAGCGCAAGGTTCAGCCTCCGCGGCGGCTACCTTCATGTCTCGGTTGCCTGCCGGCACATCGCCAGACATGAAAGGATCTCCTCCCGACAGGCTAGCTTGGCTAGCTTGGCGCGCTAGCCGTCGGCGGAGGCTCTTGATGGTGAAGCGGGCACAGTGTCCGCACGAACCCGGGGCGTCGATAGCCTTCCGGGCATGTTCCAGCCCAAGGCAGGACGAGCAGACCTGGTGTGAGTCCGTGCTCGATATTTTATAACCGCAGCCGCAAAGTCGAGCCTCAGAGCCTCCTTCTCCTCTGGTGTGAGGAAGAGAACGGTCCATCCTGGATAGCCGGAGTGCCGACTTGGAGGGACGGAACAACAACTGGTATGTTACTGTTCAATATATCAAAAGCCCTTACCGTTAAAAAACGGCGGTGCAGAATTGAGTATTAACTGGTGTGTAAATATTTTAATCTTATGCGAAGCAAGTTTAGCCGGCAAGCATCCGGCGACCGAAAGTTAACTTAGAGTGGTTCAGTCTATGAACAGTTAAGCTAGCCAGGCTACTACAAATTTAGAGATGTGCTCTGAAGCGAGAAGAGGTGTTTGAATGACGCTGCGTCGTAGCGCAAGCTACTTAAAGGGTGGGCGGATTCCCTGATGTGGTCGTCAAGATCACCAGCCAATCAGGATTGGCGTAATGAGATTGATGCTTCTGAGGCATTCGCGGGGAGGCGCATCCCATAGTGAGACATCGAACGGAGTGTTATGAATGAGAACTTTACCATAGTGTGCATGAGCAGACATCGTGACTAACTTCTAGGTCACCTGGGGAGGATCGAAAGTATCATGTCAAAGCCTGAGAAAAACAAAAAAAGAAAACCTCCCTGGATGTCACTGCAGCACTGTGGCACATATCACACCCACACCAGCCTTTGAGATAAATGGACTACTGTGAATTTTTATTGGGATACATTAAAAAGCCAGAATCGCAGTTCATCTTGGAACCAAAGCGACCATGGAAAGTCTCAATGAAGTGTTTAAACACATGTTCTGGGCTGAACCCGGGAGAGCTGACTGCGTGGGGTATAATCACAAACAGTCAAGTCTTAAAAGACCTAATCCTGAAAGGATTATAGAAATAATCAGTTTATGTGCACCATTACTAAATGCATACGTAAAGAAATAAAGTCACATAAAGTGTTTTATTTCGGGCCTAACAGCCAATAAGCATTTTAATCTCTTCCTCCAGATAATGGTGTTTTCAGTTCATTTATTTCTATCTTGGCCACTTAGAACCATACAACCCTGATGTCTTAAAATAATGCTCATTAAGTATGCAGCATTTCCTGTGAAACAAGTGGAGAGAGTCACTGGATAGAGATTGAGGGCCTAACTAAACTAAGCAGACCAGAGACATCCAAAGAGAAAAAGGGATGTATTTGAAGGTCTTTTAAGGATAGTGAAAAATCAAATCCTTTATTTTTAAACTATTTTTACTAAGGGAGCTACTTTATTGGGTGGTGAGTAGAGAAATTCATTATCCACTAATCCATTTACTACAATCTTTAATTTAAGTTCACAGGTTGCATGGAGCCCAACAGTATCACATTGAATAAAGGCTGAACATTATTTTGAACACACAGTTAGTCAGGCACTAAAGATATGTGATGACGTGAAGAACATGTAACTCAGCACACAGAGGGGGAATTCAATTCAGAAAGGATGGATTGCTGCCACTGATAGCTCCATGAATTGTGCAATATTGGCAACCGCTATCTGCCCCATCTCAAGGTAGATTCGCAAAAGACATTGTGTTTATGATTAAATCGAAAACATGCCCAGAACGTTTTGTAGCTTGTGCTTCAGTAAACATGAACTCTAAAAACGCAAAAAATTGCACTGTACGTGCATGTGGCTGTAATCTTTGTGAACTGGACTGTTGTTGCAGTAAGGCTCATTTGTATAAAAGAGACCAAATGTACGTAATTTAGATATGTGCAAATACCACAAGAGCACCAAGAAGTTATTTTCTATGCAGCCCAGTAAGTGGTGTATTACACCCTTTGAGAATTTGTCAGACATTAAGCCATTAGCCCTTAGCCATTTAGCCCCCTTGCTGCACAAAAGTAACATGATACTGTGTTCACATTCAAAAGCAAACTCTTCAACTTCAGTTTTTGGAGAAGAATCACAGAAATCCAGTCAGTTCAAACTGTCTATCAGCCCCTTAAGTCTGTGGTTTTAGACGTTATAATACTTAATATTTGTGCAAGTCTTTGTAACGCATTGGCATGAGCTGTGATTTGAGTGTAAACAATACAAATATAGTTTACTAATCTTGCACCAAACAATGCACGTGAGCATCAAGCTCCTCCTGCCCAAAACCCTTTACACAAACTATAAGAAATCAATAAAAGCAAAACCAGGCTGCTTCTGGGTTTGGATGCGTGAGCGAGATTAAAATCTCTTCTTTAGAGGGATGCTATCGCTGTAATGCCTATAATACCCAATGTAGATACAGCCAGAGAGAATTGCAACACTATAGCACACTAATTGTGCTCACTTGAACATAACAGTGTGGAAAATAAGCATAAAATATCAGATTCAAAACACAAATCTGATTTTCCTCGCTTTACATGATTACATGGCAATGGGAAAATTAGTTTTACAGCATGTTGCTTTGAGTTGCCATTTGATTTAATGAAAATTATGATATTCATCCCCTCTCATTTCATTTATTTTCAGCTCAGGAGTTGTGTGACTGCATGGTTATGTATACAAGTACATAGTAAATCAGCCATTGGTCATTATCTGGTTATGGTTTTGTCTGAGTTTAGCTTCACACTTTTCATTTATTTTTCAAGATCAAAATGTTCCAATAACCTTGTATGAGCATTGTTTGTACCATATTCAAAACAAAAATTGAAATGACTGAGATGTTTAACCCAGTCTTTGACCAAGCCACGACATATAACTGACCTGAGTTGTACAAGCCGCAACAACTTAAATCCCCCCTACATGAATTGTTGAGTCTAGACCTTTTCTTTCCCCACATATAAAGTTCCTTTGGTTAGTCAAACAATGGGAAAATACCTGTTGCTTTAGCACCAGAGGTTGTTCATAAGTTAAGACAACCATTCCCGTAGAGGCAGTAAAACTCTAGATCCAACATTCCTACAGAAGGTCAGTTTAAACCCTGTCGCTAAATCTACAAAAGAAAGAACAGAAAAACAAATCTCTTGGCAATCAAGTATTAACAGTGAGCAGACAAGAAAGATTCAAAGATGTAAAAACACTTATACACACGCATATGTAGCCTTATAAACACATCCAAAAATATACACATAAAATGTGCACATGTGTTTCCCACAGCAGAAAGCAACAGACACTTCATCATCTTAGATTATCAGGGTGGTCAAACACGATGGAAACTCTCCCTGTAGTCCGCTTGCTTTAAAACCAGTCTTTGTGTGTGTGTGTGTGTGTGTGTGTGTGTGTGTGTGTGTGTGTGTGTGTGTGTGTGTGTGTGTGTGTGTGTGTGTGTGTGCGTGTGAGTGAGATATACTAGCTAGGCCCAATCTTCTATGTCATTCAGAGGGAAAGTGATGTGTCTATATGTGGATAATAAGCTCCTTTGGGGGAGAACTCACTCCCACTGTAGACCACAAACCAGTCTTTTACTTCAGATGATACACTTCATCCAGGGAACTTTTTTTTTTCCTTCTCCTGATCTCATTTACATTCCTCTTGTATTGTTTTGTGACTATATTTGGTGTATCTGTTGCCATGGCAGTAATGTGGGTCCTATTAGAACACACTCGTATGCTTGAATCTACTTTCCGTATAATCGTAAAAACCTTTCAGAGCCTGAATCAAGCTTTATTCCAAGCACCGCACGCTCCTCCCGCCAACTAAAAACCTAGGCCTGGCTATAAAAGCATATACGGCCTCCTTCTGCTTCAAAATGTCTTTGATTTTCCTCCTCGCTTGAACCACTTCAACTGCTTTCAGGCCAGTTCTCTTAAAGCCCTGTTAAGTACCAGTAATTGAGGTGTGTAGAGTTTTTTAGGCTTGAGGTACCACTCAAGCCCCTCAACTTTCTTCCAGCCCCCTCTCCAAACAGGCACACACGCATGCATCAACATTTGAACCCGCACTCTCTCCCTTCTGGGCATTTCATGGCTTTATTTTATTCAATTGTTGTGATTTTCCCCTCACTCTCTGGTGGCCATGCCATGCACAGAGCCAGCAGCTCATCTCAAGGTCGCAGAGCAAAGCTTTTGTTGTGAGTTCCCTCCCAGTGTGTGATGCTGTCTCTTTCCCTTCAGCCAGTGTCTCCTTCAAAAACCAATCCAATAAATGATATACTGAGTGTAAAAACTGGTGCTGAACAGGTAGTGTTTTATCCCTCCAAAAATACCTAGACAGGGTCAATATAATTAATTACGATTCATGTCCATCTTCATGAACTGATTCATCCCTCTTTCTTTTAAACCAAAAGGAGATATGCGTGGAATTCCACAGTCATGAATGAAATTGGAGGTTTTCTCTTCATTTCTCAGAATGAGGTCACATAATCCCAGTTCAGAAGAAATGTGTGTTTTCTTGATTTTCTGGGACATTCACCTGGTGGTGCGCTCAGGGCCATAGAGTCACACACATTACTATTACTGCATTAATACTCGCTTTTTTATAGGGTCTGGTAACGAGATGTGATTTTGCAATCACAACACCGTGCTGAATATATCACCACAAAATGAGACCAGGTGGGGGAAAAGAGTTTCTTCTTGCTTGCTTTTTTCCTAACAGTAGATGCCCTAATGCAGGGGTTCCTAAACTTTTCTGCCTGCGACCCCCACAATAACAGTGCCAGAGACTGGCGACCCCCTGTCGACGGGGGGGTCGCGACCCCCACTTTGGGAACCCCTGCCCTAATGTATGAGTTCTTGTTCTTCCTCATATTGAATTTGTAGTATAGTAAGTATAACACCAAATATGGATTTTTTTTCAGTTTTGTTACTGGGATATTGGGTCTTCAGCTAATCAATCAAAATATGCCAATATCAATTATTGACAGTATATTTACTGTATGGTCTGTGTGAGATAAATGTCTTTATCGTGATTTGTCCGCTCAGATGTATAATCCCTGTCTTGTGGTCGGAAAATCATTAATTGTGCTGTAGGGTAATAGATAACACACATCACTCACACGCATGTATGCACTCGAGTACGCACACATGCACGCACAAATAATAGCAAATTTGATTTCACATCCTGATTTCTAGTGATGGAAATGAATCAAATGACAGAGAAGTTATCACAGCCGTTGCACATGAT